TCCATTTTCCATCAGTTAAAGAGAGAAATGTGGCCACTCGTGACATTTAAAGATAATGAAAGGTGTGGCTTTTTGTTTTGTTGATGGGGGCGACTTCCTTAGCTATAGGAGGCATAACAGTGGTGCAGAGGCGAAGGCTTATGGAAAAGCTAAAGAGAAATGCACTATGAACTCTTTCCCCCCCAAGATGTCCCAGCTGTGAATACCACTCTTGTCTGCGCTGGAATACATTTAATCACATGTTTATACAACCATCTTAACAGCCCAGAATAACACAATGCATGTGCTCTAAAGTAACTGTTGCACTTTGGACATTTCAGTCCCATGGCAGAAACCAGATCTAGTCGACTCAATTTATCATATACATTCCTTGCGTGAGTTTTAATGCATTAAGGTACTTCCAAGACAGATTTTCTTTTTTGAAAAAGCTGAAATGGAACGCATGCGGTACAACATATTCTGATTATTAGTAAGGTCTAGAAACACAACCTTTTCATCTCCCTCCTTCAGATCTCAAGACATGAATTCTGCCTTCACAATTCCAGCAAAGCAAGCCAACACAGAGATGGGGCTGAGCATTGGGCTATGGGATCAGCTGCCTCAGGGAAGGAGATCTGCTGTAGCAGCCAGGAAAGCTAAATCTGCAAATGAGACTTCTCCCTTCCCACATGGTTTGAAAAATCCTTGGGGTTCTAGATAATTAAAAATCCTTAAGGACACATACTGCAGATGTACTTTGCATCTTGCAAGTAGCAGCCATTGAGGCAACATGGGTGGGGCTCCATTGATCTCTTGGCTTCCCAACACAGCGGGTTGCTGGAACTTTCCAAGAGGGAGTGGTGGTGGGGCAAGGTGAGCTCCCTATGGGGCAGCAGGAGTGTTGAATTCACTCCACTCTCAGCTGCTGCATTGTGACAAGCTCCTCATGCCTTGCTATTCTACTCTCTTTCTTGGTACGAGTTAGGAATCCACTGTGTTAGGAAGCCAAAAAAGCAAATGGACTTCCGTCCACACTGCCTCACCAGCTGCTACTTTGTTTTGTCAACCTTCAGGAAATAATTTATTTTGGCTTCAGATCAGAGGGTTGGGCTAGAAATGTTGTGTTTTTTTCAGTTCTGTACTTCTATAATCTCAACAAGTTCAGGGTGGGCATCATAAGTTATCCATAGTAATTTGTCTTTTTCTTTTCCCTTTGCATACTTGCAATGTACTATACTACATAGCTGCAATGTACTTTCACAATTCCCTCCCCCCAATATGTGCTAACATTCTGCCAAAAATGTTCATAAATTTGCTGTTGTCCTTCAGCTTACAACACATTTAATATTTGCAAGAAGCAACAAAATTGCCAAATGTCCCTAATAGTTAAAACAATATTTTCCAGGTTACACTGCATTGCAGACAGAAAACAGGATTAAGTTTCTTCACTGATGTGCTGCTTTAAAACAAGTCAGCAAAAGAACTCAGAGGTGTAGAATAGGGAACTGGAAGGTATCATACAGTTTAAAGAATGGGAAACTGCTTTAAAATCTATATGAAATGTTTCCGTAAACTGGAATTTGAGACTCAATCAATCAATCAATCAATCAATCTTTATTACGGTCCAGAGAATTAAAATTTTAAGTACATTGGACCTCACAATGTCTGTATAGCAAGGCAATGTCTAAGACAGATAGATGCTGGAAGTGTAATAATGACAATGGCTTATTTAGACACATTTTGCAGGCTTGTCCAGCGGTAAAATATTTTTGGTCTCAAGTTACCTGCATCAATACATCAGGAGGTGTTGATTGTAATAGCTATGTTGACATTTTCATCTGACATTAAAATTCTTGACACAACCAAGAATTGCTAGATTTTGAGTAGCACATGCATAATGAAACATATGCTTTTTACAGAAATTCCAGCCCCTACCAAATTTTTGGATATATGTCAAAGACTATCCATAAGGGTCAGTTTATATGGCTGTGGCTCCATGCAATCACCTCAGCTGTGTGCATTCTTATTGTCAGATGCATACTTTACCAGCTATGTGGAAAGTTTTCAGCTACAAAAATATTATACCTGTGCACAATCCAGGTTGAACAAAACCACAATTTTTTACTCATTACATTTATGTGCATTGATATACATATGTATTTCTACTTCATACAACACATCCCACATTTATGTCTGAGCAATGACATGCATGAGCCTAAGATCATCATGAAGAAACAGCCACATAGGTGTGAACTATCCCTCTGCCTTAAGCTTACTTCCTTCAAGTATTTCCCCCTATACCGCAGGACATAAACATTTGTACATTCTTGCACACAACTGATATTACAAAAACTGTCCACAGTATTTCTACATTTATGCTAGTACCATGTTTTCCAGTTTCCCCTTGGCTTCATCTGAAACTACAGTCAGAATTGCACATCATTGCCAAGACCTGTAAAGTTCCCCAATGGCAATATTTAAAGGCATCGCTGAAGTTTTTGGTCAAAAACATCAACTTCTGTAAGACTGCCTGGGGAGGAATAGGCCTCGGTTTAAAATATCCAGTTTTGTTTCATATAAATAGATCTGTCAGCAGAGATGTAAATAACTTCACAGCCACTGCTTATAGGGGACCAGCAAGGTTTGGTGCCTTGTGTCTGAAAGATACCAAGAGAGCTTAAGTCCACAAATAAATTCTTATACAACTAGTCTGTCTGCAGGGCCCACCCAAGAAAGTAAACAATCTACTTTTGTTGACTTCAAACTCGGCTAGAAATTTAAGCTTGAAAAACAGAGAGGAGTAACAAAATATAGAACACTTCCTCTGTCCCACTCTTTCCTCTCATCAGGAAGCCCTGTACAAAGGTAGCATGGCATTCAGACCAAGATAAGTTGAGTATGCTTATTTACATCTCACTTGTCTAAATAATGTACGGGCTACAATAGATGTAGATTCAGACTGTACACACCAAAAAGCATGAAAATATATCCACCACCCCCCAATTTGGTTCAAAGCTCTAAGTTATTGTGGTCCTTATTCCTCAGTGTAGAGGGTTACCACACCCAATAAGCGGAGAAGCAACTTCTACCTACCACCATTGATTCACCAATTGTGTGTGGAGGTTCCTATTTTACTCTCACTCCCAGCATAGTACATACTGTATATTTCAAAACATTCTAATTGCTGGCACCATCTATACTATCTATACTATGCTGTTTACCGACAACTTAAACTATGACCCAATAACTGCAGCACTTTAGATGTGTTACAAAAGCAGCCAGGCTCACTTTATAAGCAAACAAAAGTAAAAAAGTTTTCCTTTAATTATTATTGACTATAAGGAAAAAGAAAGTAAATACTGTTACTGTTTCTAGAAGACTTGCAATGACTTTTATAAAGTTACTGTTATTATAAATAGCAGTTACTTTCAAATGCAGAAGCTTCCATAAGGTTGGCACTTAAAATTCGTATTTCCTCTCCCTATCAAAATTATGTGCCAATTACCCTTTCCCCACCCAGGCACTCTCGCCACCACCAGGTATAGAAAACATTTGCTAGTTTTCCCTGAGTCAAGCTTGCAGGCAGTTCCCTCTCTGGTCAGCTCCAGAAACTCCTTGCTGAACTCTTCCTCACTGCTCACCAGCATTTGATGGCCTCTTTGTGGATATTTGGCTTAAGAAAGTGATTCAGCTCTTTGGGAGCAGGCCATACCTCTAGGCTTTCCTTAGCTTCAGTAACCTCTACCTGCCTGAGCTCCAGACTTCTCTTCCAGATTCTTCTTCTTCTGGTCCACAGTCTTAGCAGTCGCACTCTCCTGAACAGTGGCAAAACTGGCCTTTTTATGTTCCACCCAGTCTACCCTTCAACTACTCATGTCTGAATGGCATTGAATTCTCTCCCCTCATTGGACCATTTCCCCCCGTCCAGTGAGTGATGAAGAACTTCAATCCAGCAGGCCAATCATAAGCAAAATTTTACTTAACATAAAAAGAACCCAGCTTTTCCCAGCCCAGTCTTATGTAAGTAGCTGCCATCTGCCAGCTGCCATTGGAAACTTAACCCTTCACATAACCCCTCAAACATAATTAACTCTTATACAGTGGTACCTCGGGTTAAACACTTAATTCATTCTGGAGGTCTGTTCTTAACCTGAGATAATATTTCTGGGTTAGCGGAGTCTGTAACCTGAAGCGTATGTAACCTGAGGTACCACTGTACTTTATATGTAAAGCAAACCCAGTCTCAGTGAACACATTATAAAAGTTGATTTCTCCACACCCCTGTATGCTCACAATTATTCAGGCGTCTACACACAAACTAGATGTACTACTCTTTCTTGCACCTACAGTGGAAGATGGGGGTCATGTGAACCTGACGCTCTCCTAGCCTCTTTCCTGTAACAATAAACCATGGTTTATCATAATGTCCTGCGGCCAAAGTCTGTTGCAAGATTTATTAGGACAAGTCCTTCCCATCTTTCTTCAGATTAACCTCCAAGATGAAGTCAGCAAGAGTATAAGGATATCTGCTCCTGCATTTAGAAGATTAATGCATTAAAATGTTTTCAAAATGTAGTAAAAGTGTGGGAAAGATTTTGTGTCAGTTGGACTGCAGTTACGAGTGCCAAACAATGGCACTTTTCAGAAGCAAAAAGAATGCTTTCCTTGGCCACAATGCAATTTTAAGATGTAAAACATATGCATCCCAAGAGCCATGTCTATGGCCCCATGTAGGTACATTACATGTGCTCCCACTCTACTGCTGGTCCACTGGAACTGACATTCTAACCGTTGAAAGGCAAGTATGGGGGGGGGGGCGGACGCGAGAGTCTAGAATATCTTACACGCTATTTCTCCAAACCTTTACTAGAACTATGCTTATCTTGGTCACTTGCCCAGTTTTAGCAGCAAAGTTGTTTTACTCTAATCTACCTTCATTAGTCACACTAGAATTCTGCAACCATCCCTCTGATGTAGAGATAAAAACGGAACCTATAAAGTGAAGATCTAGGTTTCAATTATACAAATAGTTCAGTTGGTAGAGCATGAGACCTCTTAACCTCAGGGTCGTGGATTCGAGCCCCACTCTGGGCAAAAGACTCCTGCATTCCAGGATTGGACTAATGACCCTTATGGCCCCTTCCAACTCTACAATTCTGATCATTCTATAACAGAAGAAGGTGGTCACCTCAGCAAGACTAAGTTTAGTGTAAATAACACTCAAAAATGCTTATTTTACCAAGCAGAACTGTCAATTTATGCTGAAATGCCATCCCCTGCATAGGGAATGTCTTAATGTTTGATGTCTTATTGCGGTTTAATTTGTTGGAAGTTGCTCAGAGTGGCTGGGGTAACCCCGTGAGACGGGCGGCATATAAACAACAACAACAACAATTGTTATTATTATTAAGCGACTTCATCAACACACTCCATAAGTTTGTTAGACAGAGCTGTCAGCATTAAACTGCTTTAGAATAAAGCAAGATGCACATCTCTTAATAAATACATTTGAACCTTATTGTTTTTCCACAAGAGAACTCTTCAGTTAGTACAATTTTTAGGTATGAGAGGGGAAAGAAGAAGAGGTGCCTCCATTAAGCTCTGGGTCCTGGGTTCTCCCTACTACCAGGTCTATGGTTGGAGGAGCAGGACACCAGAGCTTCCACAGCTGGGAACCACTGTTTGGGACTCTGTCCTACCAGGCAAGCTAGAGCTTAATGGGGATCAGTGCCAGCTCCATCAGCTCCTCCAGTCACACCAGGAGCACAGGTGCTCAGCAGATGTTTCTGACCTGTTCTTCCTCTCCTACCCTTATCTCTAACTCAAAATAATCAGGCATATTAATCCTCACATTGAAAGGAGAGGAGGAATAGGTTAAGGCAGTCATGAAACCACTACAGTTAAGAAATAGCATGGAGGGTATCCAGTTCTGAAAGTGCATCTTATGTGGATTGTGCACAAAACAATATAGCACTTTCAGACTTCAAACCCATGACTGTGTTGATAAGCTCTTTGTAAGCTGTTTAGTGACCACTGGAATGCTGGTTTTTGAAACTAAAGCAATGTGACAGGGCAGAGATCTGCTTCATATTTTCAGCATTCCAGAATGACTTCAGATATGAGCAAAGTAAACCTTTCAAAGCCAGTGTTCCAGGGGGCCATCTTCCCAGGTATCTGAAGCAAGTAAGTTTGGTGCAAAATTTCATAATGTAGAATCAGAAGTGCAAACAAACTTGTGCACTTTGGAAAAGCTGGGCCAATTAGAAACCAAACCAACCTCTGCCCAGGAATTTGGTTTGCAATTAGTTTGGCTGAGCTCCAGCCACCCCCAACTTTCCTGGACTTCAACTTCTATTCTTGCCCACACTTAACTTGCAAAGGGAAAGTGAAGAACTAGCTATAGTGAAAGCTGAGGACAACAATTTCTCCTTTTTTGCTTCCTATCATGCTTAGCAGCTCTCCCTTGTAGCCAAGAACACTGAGATTTGTAGTTTTAAATCCTCCTGGCTGACTCCACACATCCTACTTTGTCCGAGCCTTCCCCAATAATCACCGATAAGTAGAATTTTGGGAAATAAAATGGGGGAAATTCCATGAATGCTACCCTAAGCTCCTTGGCAAAAGGATGATAGAAATTCAACCGATAAATAAAAATAACGATCTGCTGTTTAGTGCAACATTTGCCCATGTTTTATTTTTTTCTTTGAGAAGGTTACACTCCCACTTCTTCAGTGCAAAATACATAGTTTTTAAAATAATAATAATAACAACAACAACAACCCAGGAAATAAAAGTACACCTTTCCCACTGCTTTACAAATTCCACCCCCATTGTGGGGACAGCCAAGCATATCATGCAGCTATGGCACTGAACATAGTCGCGCAAAGCTTTAAGCCACGTTTGCATAGGTGAAAAAATATTTGGAAAGAGAATGCATTTAACTTTCTGAGGTTCAGTACAAGACATGGAAGATTCTACTTTAACATAACATAAGAACCACCATGCTGGATCAGGAAAAAGGGTCATCTAGTTAAGCATTCTGATTTTGAGGTGCCTTTGGGAAACCCACAAACATGAGAGCATCAGCCCACACCCAGGGATATTTCCCCAGCTGCTGGTTGTCAGAAACATGCTGCCTCTGATTCTGGAAGCAGCATATAAGTAGTCATGGCTAATAAATGGCTTTAAAAGAAATTAAGACAAATTCATGGGGCGTAAGTCTCACAGTGCAATCTAGGCATGCTTACTCAGAAGGAAGCTTTACTGTATTCAACAGTACAGTACTTACTCGAAAGGTATGTGTGTATAGGACTGAAACCTATTGGCCACCAAAGTTATCCCATGCTTGGCAAAATGCAAGGCAATCTCCCTCTCACAAGATTAACTTTGGAAAGGGTAAAATGTCTGGAACCCATTTTTGATGGGATACATAAAATTTGCATATGTGAAACCGTTCATGTTAAAGTGGTCTACAAAATTTCACCCATGTGTCAAGATTAATCTTGAATCCGTTTTCTTAATTCCTCTCAGTAAAAGGTAAAGGTAAAGGGACCCCTGACCATTAGGTCCAGTCATGGCTGACTCTGGGGTTGCGGCGCTCATCTCGCTTTATCGGCCAAGGGAGCCAGCGTACAGCTTCCAGGTCATGTGGCCAGCATGACTAAGCCACTTCTGGCAAACCAGAGCAGCGCACGGAAACACCGTTTACCTTCCCGCCGGAGCGGTACCTATTTATCTACTTGCACTTTGACGTGCTTTCGAACTGCTAGGTTGGCAGGAGCAGGGATTGAGGAACGGGAGCTCACCCCGTCGCGTGGATTCGAGCCGCCGACCTTCTGATCGGCAAGTCCTAGGCTCTGTGGTTATACAAAAAGCACAAACTAGTTTTCTATAATTCGATCTATTTAACCCAAATGCAAACAAAAAAACCAGGTACAATTACACAAGGGCCTGTCTTAAAAGATGCCGTACATCAAGAGGGAGCAAAGGAGGAATTGGCCGATGGTTAAAATATCACTGGTAGGAAGAGCAGGGTTGAAAGGGTCTTTGAAAGTATGGCATACTTTATGGACGGTCCTTAGTCATTGCAGCATAACTGCCAAAAGACCTCTCACACACTACAACCATTGAAGTTGCTTCCAACTCTTGACACACTAGGATTTTGTAGTTATGCATATGAATACGATTTTCAATAATGTCTGCATAAGCAGTTAGGGCTGGACTTTCAGTGGGAGAGTTTTTTGTTGTTGGCCCATTGCACAACTTCACACTGCAAATTTTATTGGTTATATTTTAATCTTATACAAGAACCAGGGACAGCAATTATGAGTCTAATATACACTCCTAGAAGGAGTTTTAAGGCAGGATAACAGCCAACTCTTAGTAATATTAATTTGGTCGTGAAGGGAGTAGTTGAACTTCTTATAGCAGCTGGCTAAAAATGACCCCATGACCTGTAATGGGATAATAAACCTGCTAATTGTAATCAGACAAGAGAGTGCAGTCGGAGCACAATAAAGCCTCAGCATAACAAAAAGACAGGTTATCTTGAAATGACAATCCAAAAGGTGCTACCCACAAAAAATGTTGGACTGCCGAAACATTTATGAGCCAATTTCCCTAGGAAGAATTACAGTTCACTATCTAAACAATATATCACATCATGCAAGCAGGGAAGAGCAAGAGCATTGAGAGGGAGGGAAGGAGACTCACTTCTTCACACCCTAATGCTACATGCTATCTCCCACATCTCCTAAAGGGAATGGGTGTCAAAGGGAAGTAGTGGCCTTGCTCCTTCTTCCAGGAGCCCCATCCCACCCTGATTGATCTGCCCTATTCACTGGAATTTATGGGTGAGTTGGTATTGGGGAGGAAAAGCAAACCCCTTGGTGAGTTCCAAGGGCAAAAACCAGCTCTACCCCAGAGCAATTGTGGGGCCATAGCTTGAGCACAAAATAAGGCAACAGGCAAACTCCTTGGTGTTCTCCTTGGTGCTGCAACAACCAACCTCCTTTGCTCCATGAGCGCCTTCACAGAACAGGACACTCGGATTCCAATAATAAGGTTATACGCTACATGGATTCTGGGTTTCAGAACTCTTATTTGATTACGGTAATTACTCTTCTACTTCCGACCCCAACACAGTTCTCTTTCACCATCTTCCAACTGTGCCCTTTTGCATATTCTCTCACTATCCCTCCTTTCACCCAAACGTAATCTGCAAAAATTTATTTTCCATAGTACAAAAGTTCAATATGATTCCCTTATTCCATATCACTTTAGCAAACAAGCCATTTTGTTGCATCATTGTCGTTATTGTTCAAAGAGAATTCAAGACGTAGATAAGAGGAGCTATATTTTTTATGAGTCTACTTTCCACTAAACTAAATTAAAATTATAATTCACCTATGAATTTCCAGTACACGATAAAACAAAGAGTTAGTAATTATGTTTGGAGATAAACAAAGAGAAGAGTTATAATGGAAAATAGTATTTCTACATATGACCAGTAACCAAAGAACTCCCACACACTTATTCATTATCTCTCTCACACACAGTCTCTCTCCCTCACTTACTTACATGCATGAAAAGTTGACAACCTCTAACATTCCCAATATTGCATTATTATTCAACTTGATCTTGCTCCACATCAACTAATAAGAAGGTCCAATGAAAGAAACAAGCCAAATACATTATGGATGTTAATCTTCTTTTTACCAATTGATGCATTAATTTTAAATTAGGCATTGTTACTGAAGTTTTCATTACAATCTATCATTTTCTATCAAAAAATAGAAAAAATGGGTTATTCCTAAACTTTAAATACAGCTCTGAAATATATTTTACAGATTTCATATACTGTGTGCGCTACTGTGGAGTTGGGTCAGGTGACATAAATATATTCCACTCTGGAAAAGATATCCCTTTTCCCTAACCAAGAAAAAAAGACTGAGTTTTGAACGTTTTTTTAAAAAATGGCACTACTAATAAATCACCAAAGCCTAAACAAAATTATTTTTTGTTTCACTTTCAGCATACCCCTTTGGTTTGAATTTCATAGAATATTTATCCTCTTGAGTGACTGGAATATAGAAGCA